ACCCCTCCCAAAAGAGGGACCTCCGAAGTTGGAGCTTAGATTAGATGTGGTAAACTAGAGCTGATCATCCCCCTCTATAAAAGACTCCAGTGATGTCTATTACCCTTAGAATAAAATCTCAACAGCTAAGAATGGCTTGAAAGCCACTGCATGATCTGGCCTGAGGCTGCCTGTCTCCTGTAGTTCTCACTGCTCCTGGATCTCAAGCGTGCTCTACTCCAGGGTCTCGGCACTCCCTGTTCCCATCTGTCATAGTCCTTTCCAGACCACCCCATGTGGCTGCTCTGTGACCTCACTCAGTTCTCACTTCAAAGTTTCTTCCTTAAAGTCATATATAAAAAGAGCTCCCCCTGTCCCTCTCTACTTTCTATCTCCTTAGCCTGCTATTTTTCTTCACAGCCCTTATTTATGTAACAGTATAATAACATCAGTTGCTTGTATCTTTATTGTCTCTTTTTCCCTCTAGAATGTAAGTTGAGTATTTACTGAGTGACTTTGTTCATTGCTTTGCCATCAGACCTATATCAAAGCTGGTAGAAGTAGGTACTTGACTAAGAGTAGTTGAATGAATGCATTATATCTGTGGTTCACACGGCCAGCACAGCAGGAGGCGAGGGGAGGCAAAGGAGAGAAGCTCCACCTGCCGCCAAAGCCACTGCCTATCACTCCCGTCACTGCCCGAGCCCTGCCCAGGGTCAGATCAGCCTCTGCATCAGACCCTCCGTAGCCAGGGATCCAGGTTGTGCACCCCAATGAGAATCCAACGCTTGATGATCCAAGGTGGAGCCAACACCCCACCACCACCGTACCCCCTGCTATCCATGGAAAAACTATCTTCCAGGAAACCGGTCCCTGATATCAAAAAAGTTGGGAACCGCTGCATTTTATCACTTATTACGTTTGATTTGCAATTTTGGTGCAGGGGCTGTATGAAATCAGGGCCTCAATTCTGGCCATGAGGCAAAAGATTCAGAGCTTCAAGTTCAAAGGGGCAGAAAGAAAGCAATAATGAGATCTGCGAAAAGGCCTACTGGACAGCTTTAGCAGCTCTGGAAAGGGAGACTGACAAGGGCTTCTGAGGAGAAGGTTCCATTTATAGGGGACCTGAGGCCTAACGTAAGGGGAGGCTGTGCACTGCTGAAGCTACAAGCTCACATGCACTCACTGCTAGGATCTGAGTGTTGTTACATGATCAAAACTGTTGGGTATAATATTTTAACACATATAAACATCATTTGCCTAACTCTATTAAATACCTCTCAGTATCTCTACTTCCAGGAACAAAAACACTATGCTATATTTTTCTTGAAACACACAGCACTTTTGTTCTAGTTTTCTTTAGAGAGGTACAAGGAAAAGGGCAAGTGACAGAGCAAGCTGCCTGATCAAGAGCAGTGGGCACAGCCTCAGTGATAAACAGCAGGACAGAATGAGGCCTCTGACACACTGGAAAACTGTGCCTACCCACAGATGGCAACGCACACTTATTTCCAGAGGATTGCTCCCAGCGCTGCCAGATTTCAACAGAAGACAGAAATATGGAATTTTGTGTGAAATCTGCCAAATTTTTAATGTTCGCTCAGTAAAAAAAAGAAAAACAACTTTGGGGACCAAACAAAATATGACAACCTCTGGGTGAAACCCTTGCAAGAGCTATCTAACAGCATTAGTGCCTCTGGGCAAGTGTTGCCAGGCAGATCCACGTGTGCAAATATGTGTCAGCAGATGACTAATGTGGTCTCGCTCATTCGGATTGCATCATCAGGAGTGCAATTTTTAGCCTAACTTTGACCAGTTAACATCACTAGAACTTTTTACATGACTGGTAAATATAGTTCTCTTTTTGTGGAAAGGTACAAGGAGCAATTAAATGACTTAACAGAGGAGAGAAAATGAGAAAAGTAATAAAACTAAGCCTTTCATTCTTTATTCCATTAAACCCTAGACTTTCATCTGGGGTTCACATGTTTTTCTTTTAATAAAAGGTATTATATTTAAAGACACATGTTTATAAATTGCCCACAATGAAGACCAAAATGAGGACGAAGAATTTAATTTGAGGTTGTTCTAAGACGATGTGTTCTACACTTCTGCAAAGCATAGAATTATGGGTATTTTCTACCCTCATTCTTCACACAAAGTGGAAAAAGGGAAATCCATTGCTCACTGGATGAAAACATGGAAAGAACAATGCATGGGCAATTTAAATGGTTCCAGACCTTCATAAAACACCACTAATTATGGTTTGCTAAGGTGATATATCTCCTTAAGTATTTGCAAGCATCTAAGTTCTGGAAAAATCCAACGTTAGCATATGTTACTAGGCAATTTATATGATTTTCAGTTAGTA